AGGCTGGGCAGCGTTCAAAACAAAGCGGGAAGCATTGCTCATATAAATAACGTTCATTAGTTGCGTTGCCGGTAAACATGAAAAATGAAGCGCCACTACCCAAGCGGTGCTCAGAAAAGCAAAATGAGAGCGAAAGCCGAACAGGAGAGGGCAAAACTACCTAAAATAACGTCATTGTTCCGGCAGGCAGCAAAGGTAGACGTAGACTCTAACGTTACTGCAGATAGACCGCTAGCAACCCCCCCGGCCCCCGGCCGTCAGCTCCGAGTCCAGGCAGACAGCCCAGCAGCCCCGTTACAGCCGAGCCAGCTAGTCGTGCCTCGCGCTTCGAGACAGGTTAGACATTAGAATAATATAAAGTTTTATTCGCCATAACCAGTATGCTACAGGTTACATTGGAATTGGAATCTAATCCGTTCATTTTTGCAGGTCAGCAAGAAGTCAGCTGTGCCCCCTCCGAGGCCAGTTCAGACATAGGCATAGACAAGGCTGCCCAGCCAGCTAGCCGTGCCCCCACAGACCCCAGCAGCCCCGTTACAGCCGAGCCAGCTAGTCGTGCCTCACGCTTCGAGACAGGTTAGAATAATAGAAAGTTTTATTCGCCAATCGCCATAAACAGTACGAGTCAGTATGCTACAGGTTACATTGGAATTGCAATATAATCCGTTCCTTTTTGCAGGTCAGCAAGAAGTCAGCTGTGCCCCCTCCGAGGCCAGTTCAGACATAGCCAAGGTTGCCCAGCCAGCTAGCCGTGCCCCGACAGTGACAGCAGCTCCCACCCACCCCAGGGACACGTTGGCCAGCGACAACTCTGTGACTGAATACCCTACTGATAGGGGAAATTCCCTGTAGATTTAGAAGATGATGATGTTAAACGGTACATTCTGAATAACGGGCCATGCAAGCCTGAAGGGCCATTCAAAAGGGATGGGAAGGGAAGGTGCTTTTCAAAAGAGTTCTATAACAAAACATCCAAAATTGGATGTAGAATTCCACGAAAGTGGCTATGTTACTCGCCATCTATGGACCGGGTGTACTGTGAGCAGTGCTGGCTGTTCGGTGACAGACCGTCTGCCCATCACCTCCACCAAGCGTGGAGAATAAGAATAAATGATTGGCAGGGTCTCTCTAAAAAGATTAAGGAACACGAATTCTCTCGCTCTCATTTGGCAGCATGTGTCGTGTATGATACGTGGAAAAATAATCTGACCATTGACGCGCAAATATCATCTGAGTTTAAGAGAGAGGTGGGGTTTTGGACCGAGGTCCTAACCAGAATAACTGATGTTACACTAACACTGGCCTCTCGCAACTCTGCTTTCCGGGGTCACAGAGAGAAAATAGGTGATATAGATAATGGTAATTTCTTATCTACCATAGAACTTATGGCGCGTTATGATCCAGTTCTGCAAAGGCTTATTGAAAGCAAAAAGAAGGTGCACTACCTAAGTCCTCAAACTCAAAACGAAATAATTTCATTGCTATCGAAAAAAGTGCAGGACAGAATAGAATTCTGCATTCTGTATGTCTGTAATGATTGCATTACAGACATACAGAATGCAGAATTCTATTCGATTATAATGGATACTACCCAGGACATTTCAAAAGTAGACCAACTGAGTCAAGTGTTCAGATATGTTACTATAGCAAATGATGAAAATGGAAACCCTACAGAGGTGAAAATAAACGAAAGTTTTTTGGGCTTCCATGCAGTCACAGACCAAACTGCTGCAGGTCTAGAGAGAGAAATTCTCGAATCGATGGAGAGAAAGGGGATACTACTTGGGAAGTGCCGCGGACAAGGATATGACGGGGCTAGCAATATGAGTGGCGTCTACTCCGGTGTACAAAAACGCATAAGGGATAAAGAGCCCAACGCAGTGTACATTCATTGTGCTGCGCACAATTTAAACCTTGTACTCAATGACGCATGCCAAAATATACCTGAGATAAAAGACTTCTACGACACTGTTGAAAGGCTATATGTATTCTTTAGTGGAAGCATCAAACGATGGGAGCTTTTGGAAACACACCTCTCAGTGCCCAAGGCTGGCCAGCCTACACTGAAGAGACTATGCCCGACACGATGGGCATCAAGACAAGACGCCGTCCAATCATTGCGGTTCCGTTATGCTGACATTATGCAAGCGCTAACTAAGATAGACTTGCTCTCCAAAAAAAGCGAGGAACGTGCCGAGGCGACTGGCTTGAAAAAGGCCATGGAGAGCTTTGAGTTTGTTGTAATGACTGTAATACAGGGCAAGGTCCTTGAAACAGTCAACATTGTGTCCCAAGCTCTCCAGCGCAAAGACGTGGACCTCTTACAGGCGACAGCAATGCTTGGTAACGCAACCGATACACTTGCCCAACTCCGAGGAGAGTTTGATGGCTTAAAAGCGCACGCGCAAGACCTGGCATCCTCATGGGGTGTCCACAGTCTCTTCAAAGACAGACGCGCAAGGCGCACAAAGAGGCACTTTTCAGAGCTTTGCGAGGACCAGCGGCTCCAAGACCCAGGGGAGCATTTTAGAGTGGCGGTATTTTACGCAAATATCGATATTGTCGTTGCCCAACTCAAAAATCGATTTGTTGGAATGAGCGAAGTTGCACAGCGATTTTCTTTTCTGCTTCCCCGCGAACTTTTGCGCGCAACAGACAAGGATCTGTCTGAGTCCGCAAGTGCTTTATCAGGCCAGTATAAAGACGACCTGTCAGCCGAGTTTCCTTTCCAGATCCTGTCCCTCCGTAATGCTCTTAGGCCTACTATAAAGAAAATTGAGCGTGGAACAATCAAAGACCTTGCACAAACCCTGCTCATTGAAAATCAGTCCATTTTGCCAAGTATCCCCGATGTTGCCACAGCACTGAAATTGTTTTTAACTATACCCGTGACTGTTGCCAGTGCTGAGAGATCTTTCTCAAAACTTAAATTAATAAAGACATATTTGAGGAGCACAATGTCGCAAGAGAGACTGTCTGGGTTAGCAGTCCTTAGTATTGAGAGCCGACGCGCACGCAGTATAGATTTAAAGACTGTTATACAGGACTTTGCGCAGAAGAATGCCAGGAGACGTGCTCGTATAAAATAATAGGCCTACAAAGCTGATTGCATCCTCTTTGTAGCCTATATAGGATGTGTTTTATTTGCTTGTTTTTTGTAGGCTACTTTTCTTTTATACAGAATGTTATGTGAACCGTTCCGTTGTGTGAACTCCAATGATGATAGGCTATAACGTTCTACAATATACCTTCATGTTACAAAAAATACACAGCCACTTGTTTGTATTTGTCAATTATGTTTCAATCAGATGTATATTATTATACAGTTCCTACTGACCTTACTGTTTAAATCAGATGTATATTATACAGAAAGTTCCTACTGACCCTATACTGTTTAAATCAGATGTATCTATACAGAAAGTTCCTACTGACCTATAGGCCTACTGTTTACAAAAGATGCCTGAAAAAATAAACATTTAAAAAAGTGGCCGCGATGTCTATGCCATGTCACTCTATTATTGATTTAGGGGAGGGGGCGGGGCCCCATGGTCCGACCTGCGGGGGAGCCCCGAAATATTGCGCAACGCCACTGGGTGTAGTCCAAACGATAGCTGGGGATTCTGGGTAGTGTAGTGTCTTCTGCTATCCTTTACTCCGAAAAAATATTTGTTTCTCCGAATCGAAGGGGAAAAATACAAAAGCATTGCACACAATTTAAACCAATCAATGTTGTGTAATTAACAAGGATAATCTGGTGTTTTTTAGTCGATGAGTAGTGCAGATATCACTGTAAAATCAATCGACAGTAAGGGGAATACTTACTTCCGGGTGTACAATTCTCCGTTATCCAATGAGAATGGACGCTCACATTGCCTTTAAGGGCAGTCGACACAAACGAACGCCGTGCTTCCATGAGCGTCCATAGAAGCATATGGACATCCCGGAAAGCTGAAAATGGACACTAAGGCCCCCCCTTGCGTTGGAAAAAGCCGACTTGACATAACGTCAACATAGGCCGACCTGGGAGTGAGGATGTGTTGTCTGTTTCAGCTACGGATTGCACTTGAATGCTGACCTCTGTCTCCATTGTGCACTTGAATGGCATAATATGCAAATGGCCTGTTTTTATCTGTTATGTTGGGAGTTGACCATATGCACTTTTAAGTGTGTGATTTTACATTAAAAATAACAGTTAGTGAGTGTTAATGGCTCGTCCAGTTGATGGATCGTCTTGCCTCCCTTTCCAAGCTGAAGTCAATAAACCTTTAGTTTGTGAACTCACAGCCTTTAGAAAAATCTGTAGATCAGCATGGTAATGGAACTCTTAAATACCCAATGCTCTAAATTAATCAGTTATCTGGAAACTATTGATTTCTAAAGTTAAAGTCCCCCTTACTCAGAATATCTTATGGTTGCTTCACTTGGGTGTTTGACCTTCACTCTGCAGACAGACATATGTTTTTATAACTATTATGTTTTTAGTTATACTATTTTATAACTAAAGGAGGAATGTTTCTCTGAGCTAAGACTTTTGTTTAAAACAAGCATTAACAAGCACATGGAAGCACATCTTGGTCAAATATGCACCCAGCACGAGAGTGATGTGGAAAACTAAAACCTTCCAATGCACCATGCGCTGAGAATGGATTTGTCAGTGAAGCAGGAGTTCTCTTGTGTGCAGTAATTCACCTCGTAACATTTAAAATATTTGCTTTCTCAAAAACCCTAGATTTATTTAAATGGGGTATAAGGTGTCCATATATGTCCATTTATATATTCTGGAACTATAATGCTATTTTGTTTGAAAACTCATTTCATGATATTACAATACGAATTATTATTCATAGCAGAGTATGTGTTTTAAAACTTTTAAATGTTGTATCTTTATTCATACTCTGCTTCCCTACAATGCAGATCATAGATATCTATTCAGTCATTTCTTAAGTTAAACATGTTCTACTTATTGTATGAACTAACATAAAGTGACATTTTCTCCTCACCTGGCTCTGGCATGGTCCATTTCTCACAGAGGAAAGCTTCGCTGCTCTCAGACGGCTTCCCCACGCCGGCCATGTTGGCAGCAAACACACGGAACTGGTAGAAGTCTCCACTTGTCAGGTTACAAACCTGAGAATATAAATCAGGCATGATTCACTCTGGGGAAATGTGGGTAGTGATCAGACAAACCTAAATGTGCTACATCTCACTGAAGCCAAAGTCTTTAGTTTCATTTCTATTTACAATGAAGTAGGCAGATTTAAACACAATGATCACTTGTTTTTCAAGTTTGTTTAGTTAAAATCCTGAGGTATACAGTATGTCTGGATGGTTTGTCTAATTTGTCTTTATTATTATACACTACACTAAGTGATTTCTAATTGTTCTTATTGACAGTAAACATCTCACTTTTTTATAGCATTGTTCAAAAAGGTATATGCAGCATAAATTCCTACGCATAAAACAAAAATAATGCATTCTGGCATTGTGGATGTTTTGAGGAAAACAGAGCTCAGTTAGCACTTTGTAAAAGTGAAAAAATTTCCCTGTTTGTACAATAACACCTCTCCATACTGAAGCAGGCATTTAACAAGGTATTAGCTCTGCTGCTGCCACAGCATTTTTGTTGAGCCCCAGAGACACTTTGGCTTGGGAAGAGAAGGGATTCAGCCGTATTGATCTGTCCATCGATCTTCCTATTCACAGCCACTTAGACTTTAAGGCCCTTATCGCCTCGGTGAACAGTTGTGAACCTATGCTGCTGCAGGCTCTCTCCCCGCCACTAATTGACTCAACCAGAGGGAGCTAATTTCACTGTTATAGCAGACGCTATCTAAAAAACAATTTCCCCCCACCCTGCATTATCTATAGATCTTCCCCTAGCCACATTTAGATAGAACGACAACCATCTTATCTGATCAATTTACAGTAAGTCCTGCAAGACAAATGCAAAGGTTGTCTGCCAAAATAAATAGGGAAGTACCGTCGTCCTCCACTAGATGGCAAACAGGCTGCATTTGATTAATTAACATACTTTTTGTTTTCATAAAGTTAAGTTACATGAGCGGGCATTAAATGAAATCATGACCTGACTGACATTATGACATCACATTAAAGCATTACTGGTAACATTTGTATTCAATTTAGGCAGTAAAGGAAAGTAAGTAACATTTACACTACTACTGCACAATTAAAAAAATATCTTTTAGAGGAAAATATGGTAATTTCTACTTTAATCTGAGAGTTTTAGTTAACAGTTACATTGGAGGTCAGGATTTAACATTCAAACGTGTGAAGCTTATCAAATAAACAGTTGTCCGCAACATTTTTGGATTGTTGGGTATTTGTCACGTTTAATCCGTCTATGTGGTTACCAGTTACATTAAACCTCTAAATGTATGAAGTAGTTTGATGCATTAACAATATAAAAACATGTATTTTATTATATCACCTTTGATAATGCTTTTAGGGGGCCTTCACTTGTAAATAGATATTTTTAAAAGGGTTGTTTTGGTGCTTTTGCATTATTGATATCAGTGTATAGTGTATTTGTTTGTGGTGTTGACCAGATAGACATCCGATACATTTGTGAAAGCTTTCATGACAAAATGAACATTTTCTGCTCAACTCCAACCTGTAGAAACATCAATAATATTAAATACTTATCAAATGTTAAATCCAGGAGGTGAGCAACCTAATTTAAAAGGCACAACACAGCTAATGTGAGAGGTGTAGATTGCTCTTTTAGGATTTGAGGTTGTTGAAATGATTCATTTTCCCCAAAAGGGGGGGGCTACAAGTTCCCATCAGAGGTTTCCTTCTGGGCGAAGAAGGGTCTCCGATCCTCAAGTCAACTTCACATTGTGTACGACAGTCATTTTATTTCTAATTGGCTTTGTCTTTGTTTGTCCCCAGGAGCTAAAAAATGTCTAATTACAGAGCACCTGTAATCTCCTGGAGACAGGTTCAAGATTTTACTTTCTTCCAGGTCTCCATGGACACTGCCTGTTGCCTAGTGACACAGCCAATGTGGATGAGGGAGCGTCAGCCAATTATTCCATTGTTTTTTTAGGCCACTTCCAAATGCAGAGGTAACTTATAGTAGCGTGATTATATTAAAATGTTTCAGCCCTTTTTGGCGGCAGGCTGAGGAGTGAATTCTCTTTGTTGTGCTTACAAAGGGATTTCTAATGATTCTTTTTCCCATCAAAAAAGTTGATTAATAATAATTTGTTTTCATACATGTTTGTGCATCGTATTGGGCTGAAGGTGTTTCACTGGAAAACGTAATTCTTTTTGCAGTGGTGTAAAGTTATAACTACATTAAGTACTGTACTTTTGTGCGATTATGATCTACTTGTACTTTATTTAGGTGGTTCAGTTGTATGTAACAATATGAACTCCACTTTATTTGATGATTTGAGTTATGAGTAACTTTACATAGTCATATTGTTAATTACTTACAGATTATTTATGATATTGTACTGTTATGAATTGAGCTACAAAGCAATCAAAACACTAATGCTGCCATAATCTGTGAAATTATAGATTATAGTACAATATTACAATAGGCCTATTATCTATTATCCTGAATGTTGATAGTCTGCATAATAAGTCATTTTACTTTTGGTTGTATACTCATCATCTTATTTGAGTATCTTTTTGAATGTGGGACCTTGTAACAGAGTTTTTATACTCGTTTTTGAGTAAATGATCTGAATACTCATTCCCAACCTGTTTGTGTTGCTGAAAGGAAAAGTGACAGGATCACTAAAGTCATTAGGGTTCATCCTCTGGGCACCATGCATTTCTGTAAAAGAAATGATAGAAATCCACCACACAGTTTTTGAGATATTCCCCTTTGACCCAAAGTGGTGGAGTGGCAGTCTGACATGCTGCTAGTATCACACTACACTGTAATTGCACCCTTCTGGAGCATTTCCGACCTTAAACTGTCTCTTTTTGGCCGGCTTCACGTTGACTTCTCTCCACATTTTCCCGCCCTTCTCCCTCTGATCCAGGTAGTATTCGAGCACAGGGTCTCCCCCGTGACGCGCAGGGGCCCTCCATCCCAACACCATCTCTGACCCGGTGCACAGCAGCAGGGCGATGGCAGAGGGAGCAGAGGGAACCGCTGCAGTAAGCAGAAACAAAAACAGAACCAAAAAATAGAAATGATAGGTGATGGAAGAGAAAACCTCAGCCGGCAGTTTTCTTGCTAAATAGACTGAAAAGTGCCAATAACTCCCTGGGCGAGTAGAGTTGCAAATTGATAACTCTAGGCCCATATTGAGCTTCCCGAATGAGAATGAAATAAATATTAAACTGATTCTACTTGATGAAATATGAATGCCTCACAAAGAGTTGTGCTGCAGCCATTTATCCTCAGGTAATGGCTGAGTGGCAGAGGTGATGTGAGAGTATTCTGGTGAGTGAGTAGTGAGTGAAATGAGTCATCATTACAGAGCTTTACTGCGGGCTGCAGAGAGAACATTATCTGAGACTAAACCACAGGAAGTCAGAGGGGTCAGAATCTCTTCGTCGGGTATGGCTCCACAAAGCTAAAATATGAAACCACCACAATAAAAGAAGTTCATACAGCCTACAGCCATCTGGTGAAGGCCACATAACAAAACATATGAATACTGACATGTGAAAGAGCAACATTTCAAGAATGTAGCAGCGGTACAACAAAGCTGCCCATGCCCACACACATATTTATATTCTATTTGACCTGAAAAGCTGCAAACATGTCGAGGGTAAAAGGTGAAAGTATTTTGTAAAGCTTACACGCTTTCAAACTTCAGACAATACATTCTCAGAAAAGGCTCCTGAAAGGAAAGAAAATGACACAGATAAATACGCCTGTTTAGAAAATGCTTGAGAATGTATTCGCTCAGGAGATAAAGACATACAATTTAGATGTTGGCCTTCGATGCAAAAAAGTAAAATGATTTGACCTCACAAGTCAAGAACATTATTTGCTTTTGGCTTAAATCTAACCTACAATGCACAGTTGAGTCGTCTCTTTTATAAAGTTGAACAAAACATGTTTCTATCTGTATTCTTTTCTGTATGGCGTTGAGTATTTTTGAGAATAAAATAATAATAAATCAAATATGCTTTATTCAGAATCAGAATACCTGTGGGACTAATCAAGGTGATCTTGGTGTTATGTCACGGTTTTAGTGTTGTCTGTCTGGTAATGGGTTTTGTTTTGCGGTTCTGTTCTCCCTGTCTCTTGTTTTCCTCCTGTGTCTGATTGTCTGATTGTGTTCACCTGTTGCCCCCCTAGTGTTTCTGCCTCCCTTACCCAGCTGTTTCTTGTCCTGTGATTACCCCTCTTTGTATTTAGTCTCGTCTTCCCCTGTGTGCCTTGTCGGTTCATTGTTTTTCCTGTCTCCCTCCATGTCAGTCACGGACAGTTTTTTGGTATTGTATCTTCCTTGTGCTCCCTTTGTGTTTTATGCCATGTTATTTGCTATCAGCTTTTAAAATAAAGCTCGCTTTTGTTTTCTAGACCTTTTTACCTCTTTTTGTAGTCTGCATTTGGGTCCTACCTTTTCCGCGATCATAACAGATTCTGAATAAAGCATCTTTTTAAAACCTTCAAGAAAGAGCATTGATTCAACACTGACATATTTCACTTTAATGTGACTTTTACAACTCTTAAGGAAATATATTTGGCGTTTGTTTAGAGACGTTTAAGGTTTACTTACATATGGCGGCTTTGACGAGGATGGGGGGGGACTCGTCTGAGTAGCTGCTGTTTCCCGCCCGGCTCACAGACTTCACCCTGAACACATATTCCTGTCGGTTCTTGAGGCCGTGGACTGTAAATCTGAGGGGATGAAGTTCAGGCAGAGTAAACATGCGTCACCACCACTTATAGTAATAATACTTAAGCTTTATTCGTACAGCCATTTGTATACACAGTGTGCAGCTCTAAGTGCTTTAACAATATGGCACACAAAACAAGAAAACATGAACTCCATACAGTTAATAGCTTCAAACTTGATTTGCACACATGCAGCAAATGTTCTTGATTAAACATAAGGTTTAAAGAAATACAAGGAGGTAAAGTAGGCAAGAGAAATAATTAAAAATAAATAGAATAATAGTCCACAAGGTCATCGATAGCCCACTCATTAAAAAGTGTCACAAGACACAAATAATAAATCAATAAAATATTAAAAACTCTAAAACAATACAAACATATATTAAAGGGGGATGTCGCTAATTAAAAGCTAATCTAAAAAGATATGTTTTCAGCTGTCGTTACAACAAACCTTGCTGGATGTTCCTGTGGACAATCAGAAATATTACAACCACACTTTCTGAAACAATGTTTTACATAATGTGCCTGTTACCTGTTTTTGGTCACAGGCTTGTTGTTGATAGTCTTCCAGTCCTGTTTGCCTCTCTCGCTGCAGTACAGGTAGTAACCCAGAACGTCGTCTTTCTCTTCGGGCTCCTTCCACTGCAGCAGCACCGAGGTGTCCGTGTCTCTGACGGCCATCACAGAGTGAGGAGCAGCCGGCACCGCTGAGCGGGTCAGAGGAAAAGGCATCGGGTAAAATGTAGTTACACTCTTAAAGGTCTCGCTTTCATTGTCTTTTTTTCCAAAATCTTTTCATTTGTTTTTTTGCAGACATGGCACTTTCAGCACATTAAACAAAGTACAGAACACTTTGTCAGTCCTTTCATTGTCTTTGACCAACAACCATTGTGTTTCCTCATTCGGCGATAGATAGTGACTTAATAGATATTGATTTATAAGCAAATCCTTAAATTATTACATTCATCATCAAAATGAAAAGGTTATTAAAAGACCTTATTCAATCAACTCAAGTTGGCACATTAAATGGATGTTAAATAATAATAATAATAATAATAATAATAATAATATAATGTTAAGCAGATTTTCCAGAGAATACCTCTGCATCAGTCACATATATGAGTTTAAAATAGTATTGTTGCATTAGTAAGCTACTACACTATAAGTACTAAAACTTGTTCCATGCTCAATTGAGTGACAGGCTCCAAAACTCACCATGCATAGTCCCCTTGCTATATCTACACTTATCACTATTATTTTTCATTCATAATGAATAACTGCAAATGTTGCACCAAACACAACCAGACAAATGATCTGACAGGAAGTAAACCAATCTCAAAAAGCCCAGGGTGAACACAAGCTGTCATGATCATCTATTTGTGCACCACTACAGTAAGATAAGATAAGATAAGACTTTATTTATCCCGAAGGAAATTGTTGTGCTAGATTTACACAAATACAATAAACCAGTGGCGAACCGTGTCTATCACAACTGGACCTTCTGTAGACACACACACCCCTACTCACAACAATTCCGCAACAACTTCATCTTCACTTGTTGCACTTGTCATTTCAACGTTAAAAACAATAAAACGGCATGAATTGCTTCGTCGCATTCATCTAGATCCTCTGTCTCGAGCCAGTTAACTAGCGGGCCTTCTAGAGCAGTGTTTTACCTACATACACACATACATGATTGTCACTAAAAGCCTCTTCTCTACATTACAATAAAATATAAAAAATAATTGACTAATTCATTTTAATAAAAATTCAAGTTAGTATTAAAGGCATAAAAAGACAGAAATGTATAATTCTTTCTTTAATATAAATGTTTCTTCTGCCCGTAAAGTGTCCAAACCAGGCTTGTCTGGATAAGCGCATTTTTAAAACATAGTCATTGTCCATGCCGGTTTCAGTTGGATTATTTGTCACAGTTGCTCCGATCAGATCGGTCTCCTCCATTTTGTAGATTATTTACGACTTTTGAATCCACATAAACACATCGGCAAAATCCGGCTTACTTTGAGCATGTGTTTTAAACAGTTTAATCCCTTTGTGAATTGTTTCCACTTGTGCCGTCCTTTAATTTCTTCATACAGCGGGAATCCAAATAAATTAATCCTGAGTCCAATAACCATCAAAGTCACTCCAATAGTGCTCCTTAATGACGCTTTCATCCTCCTTTAACAAAATACTTCACATTCATCCAGTTTGTGACATTAGTTGTAGCTTTTTTGAGACTTTTAAACTTGAATTACCGCTGTTGCGCCCCCCCCCGTGTGTGTGTGTGTGTGTGTGTGTGTGGGGGGGGGGGGGGGGGGGGGGGAGGGGGCGCAACTTCCAACAGGAGTCATTTGGGGGGGCTCTTGGGAAAAAAGGTTGGGAACCACTGTTCTAGACCCTGGAACCGAGGGGAACTCTGAAAGAATACGCCCATTGGCTAAAAATCAATATATGATTGGTTGATCAAACTGTCAGTCCAAACGTACGCTCTCATTCAGAGCAACGGCCAGGGCATTCGATCAAGGATGTAAAATACCTTGGTTGAAGGATATTCTACCCAGAGACCCAGAACAAGATCTGATTGGTTGCTTTCTTTTCTAACACAAAACCACTCAAATGCGTAGTGCATGGACCGAGAAAGACAAACAAATCAACGTAACACTGTAATATTACAGATCAACAACACAGATACCATTCTCATTTATTCATTTTATTTACATTTTATTTATATAATTAAATCGATTTTTTGTTTGTTTTATCTGAGTGTTCCAGGGTATTCTCTGAATACCTTGAAGGCCCTGACGGTTCGCCACTGCACTAAACACAGCAGCATAATAATAAAACTGTACACTAACAGTGCAGTAAATGTAGTCGAGTACTCCTACAAGATGCCATCAACCTCTACAAGCGGCAGAGTTCAAGCACGAGCACATTTCTCACCTTCTTGTGTTCCCAAGGAGACGGGTGCGCTGGGCTCCGAGGGGTCGCTGACACCGTGCCTGTTGATGGAGCGCACTCTGAAGAGGTACTGCTGACCCTGGATCAGGTCGAGCACGGGGAACCGCGGAGAGTTGACCTCCATCTCCAGACTGGCCATCTCCCAGCTGCTCTTCCCTGCCAGGGACTGATCCAAGTCCAACATGAAAAACAACAAAACCCCACAAGATTAAAAAGCACTATCTACATATATCTCAAGGACATTCTCATTATTCAGGCTCCTTTTAAATAGGCTGGAGGATTGTACCTGCCAAGACTGCCAAATACTCTTTAAAAGTCCCATAATTCATTCTGATTTTGTACGATTACACTTTGTTCTCTTTAGTCGACTGCGGATTGTATAGTTTTGCCACTTAACAAGCAGAGAAGGGAAAAGAAGAATAAAGGTTGGTAGGTATAGGAAAACATTTTTTCCAGGGAGGAATAGGAATACATTTCCAGATTCAGGAGGCAAAAACATATGAAAATGTAGAAAAAAAACCAAGATATAACGAAAAAGACAGATGGACATTAAAGGTGGGGTAGGAAATTCACTTCAGAAACACTTTTTGTTATATTCCATGGAATGCTCTTAACATCCCGATAGCAATGAATACATTAAATGCTTTGACAATAAATACATAAAAATATGTCATCTGAAGCCGTGGCGCTGTAAAAAGCACGACCAATCATCTGAGCCGGCTAAAACAACTGGATGGCCTACCTGCCTGTCAGCCTTCCATCTGTGTACAAACTTATCTGGTGCCCTCATTGGTCATGTGTGCATGCGTGTGTGTTGGAGGAGGGGCTCTGTAAGGAAGTCTGAAGGAAGGGGCAGATTTTGTTCGGCTGCGTACTTTCAAATTCTAGCGCACTCGAGCTGGTTTCTCCATTCATACCTACCCTACCTTTAAGAGATTTGTATCTATAGTTCGCTTTTCAAGGTATAGGCTAAGATGTATGAAACAATTAATTGAAAAATCATAGAAAACCACAACCGTAAAAGGAAAAACACGTGAAAAACACATCATAAAATGTATTCTTATGATTACTATATTATTCATTACTAAAATAAACTGTGGACAACCACTGACTCATCTTGAGATCTTTTCTTCATCTTTGTAAATTAATCCTTTTTGATAATTTGCTATACAGTTGTGAACCCTTTGGATTCTCCACACATAGCGTTTCATTTAATTTCAAACCTTTATTTATACAGATAAATCTCATTGAGATCATTGATCTCTTTTTCAAGGGAGACCTGCTCAAGTAGTTCCACATGAAACAAAAAAACATAAATAGAACAACAAAAGGACATCATACAGCATCATTTACATAATTATCCACATAAACAGGTACCAATAGCTTCCGATTGAGTAGCATCCAACCGAGCTTTAAAAACATTTAGTGGCACCAGATTGTTCAGTTTCCATTTAACTTGCAGACTATTCCAAGACAGAGGAGCTGCGCATCTAAAAGCTGTCTTCCCTAAGACAGTCCTAGCAGTTGGCACATTTAATAAAACCACAGCATTCGATCTCAGGCAGTAGCCACTTACAATTTTCCGTGAGATCAGGGAGCAGATATAAGATGGAAGTTTCCCCTAACATGGCTTTGTATATAAAAATGTACCAGTGACTGAGCCTCCGTACAGTTGGTGAAAGCAAACCAGCCCTTGCATACAGGGTACAGTGATGGGTTAATGCTTTACAGTTTGTCACAAATCTCAGTGCACTGTGATACGCAGCATCTAACTTGACCAGGCAATTGGCAGGTGCATTCATATACATCAAATTACCATAGTCCAGCACAGGTAAAAAGGTCACAGTGACTAGCCTTTTCCTGGCCTCAAGCGAGAAACAGGACTTGTTCCTGTAGAAGAAACCTAGCCTAACCCTCAGCTTTTTAAGCAGGTTATTGACATGAAGTTTAAAAGTGAGACCATCATCAAGCCAGATACCAAGGTATTTGTAACAGGTAACCACTTCAAGTTTTATTCCTTGCGTAGTTACAATATCTACAACAGGCTCTGGTGTCTTTTTAGCTTTAGAAAAGAGCATTACCTTGGTTTTCTCAACATTTAAAAGAAGCTTTAGTTCAGCGAGCTGAGTCTGAATAATGTTAAAAACATCCTGTAATTTAAAACCAGCCTCCTTAATGGAGGGACCTGCACAGTACATCACGGTATCATCCGCATACAAATGTAAAGTAGCTTCATCCACATTTTCACCTAAACTGTTGATGTAGATGGAGAATAAAAGTGGGCCTAAAACAGAACCTTGGGGAACACCATTTGCAATGTTCAACCACTCGGAAGACAGCCCATCAAAATGAACACATAGGGACCTTTCAGAGAGGTAGTTTACAAACCACCCTACTGCATGGCTGGACATGCCTATACTGGCTAGCCTCTGCTTCAAAATGTGATGATCGACGGTGTCAAACGCTTTTGAAAGGTCAATAAATAGAGCTGCACAACTCTGCTTATTATCTAAAATACTCGCCACATCATTCACCACTTTCATTGTGGCAGTGATGGTGCTGTGTTGCTTTCTGAAGCCTGACTGATGTTTAGACAGGATGTCATTTGTACATAAAAACACCTTTACCTGTTCACTCACTAAGCGTTCAAGAACCTTAGCCAGAACTGACAACTTAGAGATTGGCCTATAGTTATTTAATAAGGTGGCCTCCCCTCCTTTTAGCAAAGGCAGGACATACGCTGACTTCCACAATTTTGGAATTGTGTTTGAGCTGAGGGGGAGGTTAAAAAGAGTAGTGAGAGGTGGAGCAATAAAATTGCAGCTATCTTTAAAAAGAAAGGTTCTACGTTGTCTGGGCCGGCCGGTTTCTTAGGATCTAACTTGGTTAAAGCTTCACGAACAACATCAACAGTAAAAGGGGTGAAACTAAAAGGGTTTTCCAACACACGTTTTTCAGAGTCACATACTGTAGTGTTCACAGAAGCAGAGTTAGTGACAGAATCAAATAGAGAACCACAGGACACAAAATGCTCATTAAAGCAATTTAGCATAGTGGCCCTGTCCGATATAGTGCCAGATGCTGTGGTAATGCACAGAGGTAGCTCATTACGGATATCGCCGGTGGATAACGATTTAATGGCTTTCCAAAATTTCCCAGGATTATTCAGATTATTTGTGGTTACTGACAGATAGTACTTTGATTTAGCACTTTTGATATGTGAAGTGAAGCTATTTCTTAGCTGCCTAAAATGCAGCCATTCTACCTCTGAGCCTGATTTCCTAGCCTTTGCCCAGGCCTCGTTTCTCTCATGAAGGATACTAGACAGATTAGCAGAAAACCAAGGATTGTCTCGTCCCTTTACTCTAAATTTACGCAGGGGTGCATGTCTATCAATGATCTCCATAAAACCAAGATACAAATAAGACCATGCGGTTTCTACATCAGCACACAGATCGATTTGACCCCAATCAAACCCAAACAGATCATGCACAAAACCCTGCTCCACAAAATGTTTTTTGTCTCTCTTAATGATAATGCGAGGTTTAACCTTTTGGACCTTAGTGTCCCTAATTGTGGCTACAACACAGTGATCACTCAGATCATTTGCAAATACTCCCACAGATGAATATTTATGGGGAACATTAGTTAAAATGAGATCAATTAGGGAGGATTTATTAGGGGACTTAATGTTAGGGCGAGTAGGACTGTCAACAATCTGAGTAACATTTATAGAGATACAAAGGTTTTTTAAATCCTCTGACACTGCAGTTAACCAGTCCCAGTTAAAATCTCCAAGTAGCACTATTTCCTTGTAGTCTAGTTGTGATAAAAGATTTGCTAGTGAAGACAAGGAGTCTTTGACAGCTGAGGGGGGTCTGTAACAACTCACTACCATGACCTGTTGACCCTTTGCCACTTCTATATTTATGGCTAAAAATTCAAATTGCTTACTGATCGATTTGGAAACTAATGTGGTTACACTGAACTTATTCTTAACATAAATGGCAACGCCACCACCTTTATTAGGCCGGTCGGTACGATACACATTAAAACCATTAAGGCAATGTCAGAGGCCAAAATAGATTTGTTTAGCCATGTTTCTGATAAAACAATGACGTCAGCGTCAGTCGATTTTGCCCAGATACGGACAAAATCTAGTTTACCTAACAGACTGCGCACATTCAAGTGGATGAAACCCAACCCAGACCTAGCTTTAAAATCAGCAGGAGTAGCGATCTGACTACTACTACTGGGCGGACCAGGGTTAGGTAAGGTTGTACATTTCCTGACAGTAATAACAACAAAAAAAACAGGCATCTTTTCCTCTTAAACGACACGCATACATTGTCATCTAATTTAGAAACACCGGAAAAGTCTGCGAGAGTGTGATTAGAGCTTAAGAAGCAGTCCTGAAGAACCATCATCGCAGGAAAACAAAAAAGACAAGCATATTTTGTCGAGCAGATTGACTGTGACAAGGCAACCGGTAATTGTTTGTGTAACACATCCGAACCTTTGCAGCGGATGCCCACTGCGAGTGGCAGAACAGACCTGAATCCAGTAGTCTTCTCAGAATGACTAGAGATCTTCTCATAGTCCAAAACAGTTAACAGGCACAGCAGAATCCCGATATGGGCCATTTTCCCAGACCAGCACACAGTATCCACGATGTTCCTGGAGCAAAATCAGCACAGCAGCAAAGGACAGGCGAAAACAGCAGCGTGGAAGCGCTCCGGTCCCTCCGTGGTATCCCCGGGGTGAAAGCAGGCCTCTGCAACAGCAGAACCAGGACAGGTGGAAAGCAGGCCCCAGGCGTGGTAAAATCCTCCTCCGCACAGCAGCACACGCCCGGTGGAAGCAGGCCAAGCCCGAAGCGTGGATCCACTCCGTCTCTCCGCAACGACTCCGGGGTAAAAACCTCTCCAGTACAGCCGTATTCTACAGGTGGGAGCAGGCCTCCGTAGATCGCAGATCGCAGGCAGCAACAGGTGGAGCCGCTCTGTCTCTTCGCGACGTCTCCGGAGGAAAAACACCTCAGTACAGCCGTACTCGACAGGTGGGAGTAGGCCTCCGCAGATCGCAGACAACTAAAACTACTACTTGTATAAGCAGGGATGGCTAAAAGTTTGTAAGCAGGAGAGCTAGATGCTAACAAATGCCAGA